TGTGTCCTTGAATCCATTTAACTGAAATGAAAACATATAAAGACGTCCAATTGTTGAGAGTATAAATATCAAATCGAGAAAAAAATGAATTTTGCATGTGTTTATAAATAGTTGGTTCATTCATATGATCAATTGGTTTTAATGAATCAGCTGATTTTACTGTGAAACGTAAATAAGAATGGACAATAATTGTGGCTGGTATTATCCGAGTCATAAAAATCTGTGTTCCCGTTAGCGTTAACGTATATGACAGGGAAAGCCCTATAAGCCCTGCAGACATCCAGAAACTTGTTCCATGTTAAACACCTATAAACACCCTGAAATTCAAGATGTATTGCTCTAATAAGTACCTGGAGCAGCAAAACCCTTGGGAAGTAAGATAAGTAAGGTACATCAAAATCCAAAATAGTTAAATCAGATGAAGCCTGTAAAAGTGGAGATATCGAATGGCCGTGATAACAAGTGATTGAAATTCAGTTAGCAGAGTTCATAAGTAGCATTTTGACTACTTATTCGTATCAAAATCCGGCCAACAGTAGTGAGTCAAAGAACAGAATTGGGGCCTTAAAGATAGCATCAATGAAACCCGAGACAAAGGCTTTCGAAGCCTTCAATCCCATATGAGCTGTTGAAAACGACCTTATTAAATATACAAAGACAGCACTAAGTGTTGAAATTGCTGTATAAAAGCAGATGGGCATGCCATGGTTATGTTAGGCATTTGAATGCCTAGAGCTAGCCAATAAGTTGAAACAGGCTGAAAACTAGCAAAACCAGATTGTTATGCCTAAAGCTTAGAAGAAGATTTCCTTTGGACAAGAAAATAATCCCGGATGGGCTTCAGTCCAACATCACCAATCCCTTTCTCTTCTTCTTCTGTTAGTTGCCTGCCGCGCACACCATTCACAGAAATATCCCCTTCGCTGTTATTGGTTTCTATCTCCCTTTTCAGATTCTTCTTGGCTTTGATTTTCAAAGGTAACCAACTCCCTTTTGCTTCTATTTCACTGCAATTTAAGCACGCAAACACTTTATTTAACTCTAACTGGGGGGGGTGGCCACGTCCCTAATAGAATGTCGAGAATTATATATAAAAAAAAAAAAAAAATACAAAAACAAGAACATAGTACTCACAGCCAACATAAATGACACATGGAATTTTTGTATCCACCACTGCTTATAGATGTTAAAAAATGACACATGAAAAGAAGAATCAGTGGTTTCATGCACAAGCAGGATGCCTCACTTCGTAACTTGAAAATAATATGCCGTGACTATCGAGATATTTGAAAATATAGCCATTTTAGAAATTGCTTATTGAAATATAACCTACATGACAAGCTCATCAGGGCACCATCTAGAAGACACGTATTTTTTAAAAATACGATGACAGAACTCTGCAACTGTTGGATGGCTTTTTTAAAAATTTGGCTTAATATCTTCTCCTCTCTCAAGTTCTTCATATAGGAAAGTGGGAATGCCTTTCTCAACAAAGATTGTATAGAGAAATTCAGTGAAAGTCTTTCGAGTATCTTCGCCACAAAAACTCAAGAACACATCATATCAACATGAGAGGGAGAAGAATTGGAAGACGAGGCTTCTGGAGCTCTAGAGAAAGCCATTATCACAGACAATTACAATTACTTTTAATTGCTGGTGACTGGTGTCTCTAAATCTTTAAGTAGAAATTAAGGGTAGCACCTTGCTTCCTACTTCCCATAAAATTGTTGGCATGTATCAGCCTAATTAGCAGAGTAATTGACTTCAAACATAGCTGACTTTACATTAAAAATTAGTCCAGCTTCATTTCTAAGAAATCTCTAAAGTAGACCTCTCTTTCTAATAGCAATAATGGGTGGCTGGTAAGAGTGGTTATTGAGAGGGGGCAGACAAACACTTCACCTAACTCTAACCGGGGAGAATGACTTACATGGAACATATTAACTTCCACATGACATGCCAGTTTAAAACACATATCAATGCATTATTGGACAATGACGCCACAATGGTAGTGAACCTGTTTCTTATAAGTTGCTCTCTTGACTAGAAGACAATTCATCCAAAAAAGTTCACACAGAACAAAAACAATCTCATACCCTAACATAAACTACTTCAGCAAGGGTCTTATGCTTCAAGTGGTCCTTTTTGAAAATTCAACAGATGTCCCCAAAATTTACTATTTGGGATTGTAATTTGCCTTTTGATATTTTTCATAAAAAGAAGGGTGAAGTGCCGATATAGTTCATGAATTATCATTTTAGTAAAAATTAGGTCTTTGAATTATTTTTTTGGTAAAATAATCCTTAAATTCATAACAATTGCTAATTTAATCTCTACTATTATATTCAAAGTTATTTTATCCAAATTTTCGTCAACCTAGGTCATTTGACACACTTTAATACCATCATTTTCTCGCTTATAAACCCTTAACATTTCATATAGGTTGTGAATCTAACGTTTAATTTACCCTCCAAAGTTAACTCCATATGCAACTTTTTTGAAAAAGTACTAATCTGCTCTCTAATGTGTATCACATGCAAGTAATGTGACTTAAATTGGCGGAAAATTGAATATAGTAGCTTCAAATATAATATTAGGGATGTAATTGGCAAATTTTTATAATTCAAAGATTGGTTTTTCTAAAAAAATAGTTTAGGATTTTCACTCAAGTGATAATTCAGGGACTAAATTGCAGTTCACCCTAAAAGGAAATTAAAAAAGGGGAAAGGATCCTTGCCGGATCCCTTTCTTGGGGATCCTAAGGATTCTGCGATCGTGACCGTTCATCGTACATTGTGCAATCAGTTTTCGTTAGGTGCTATTTATATTTAATTTTAAATTTCAAATTTTAAAATGATTTCTGACCGCATGATGTACGATAAACGGTTACGATCACGGAATTCCTATGATCTACAGAAAAAGAATCTACCGATGATCCTTTTCCTTAAAAAACTACACCCAGATGATGTCATCGATCCACCCATCATCTCAACCATCCATTACCAATTCCATGCAACAAGTATCCACCGTCCAATTCTACTTAAACTCACCGATCCGGCACCAATCCGCTTGAATCAGCTTAACACATCACAACCGTCAATTTTCGAAGATTACCAAACCGAAGCCACGGCTTAAACGACACCCCAAGACAGCGATCCTCGGGAAATCCCAGCAGCCAATAGAATCCAACCGCTCACCATATATAAAAACACAATCTCCTCATACTTCGGTCATCACAAAAATATCCAACTCTCAGTCTTAATCCAAATCGAAAAAGCCCCAAACTTTTCTCTCGCAACTCTATCAATGGCGCCCAAAGCCGAGAAGAAGCCTGCGGAGAAGAAGCCAGCAGAGGAGAAGAAGTCTGCCGTGGCGGAGAAAGCCCCCGCCGAGAAGAAGCCCAAGGCCGGGAAGAAGCTCCCCAAGGAAGCCGGGGCCGCCGCCGGCGACAAGAAGAAGAAGAGATCGAAGAAGAGCGTGGAGACCTACAAGATCTACATCTTCAAGGTCCTGAAGCAGGTCCACCCTGACATCGGAATCTCCAGCAAGGCCATGGGAATCATGAACAGCTTCATCAACGACATCTTCGAGAAGCTAGCCCAGGAGTCGTCCAGGCTCGCCAGGTACAACAAAAAGCCCACCATCACTTCTCGGGAGATCCAGACCGCCGTGAGGCTCGTTCTTCCCGGCGAGCTCGCCAAGCACGCCGTTTCGGAAGGGACAAAGGCCGTGACTAAGTTCACCAGCTCTTGAAAGGGCTTAGGGTTTGTGGATTTCAATGTCTGATATTTGAAATCGAGCCCTATGGGTCTAGGGTTAGGGTTTTAGTTAGTAAATGTGCATTTTTCTTTCTATTTTTTGTGACTTTGTGTTGATTTGGAACTCGATCTTTATCTTGGTAGGAAATGAAGTATTATGGTTCATATAATCCTTAATGGTTTATAAGGTGTTTGATGAAATGCCCAACTGAACTGATTGGGGGTTCTTACTCGTTGCCTCTATTGCTTCACTTTTTATTTTTTGAAGGCTTTTTACTTGGTTTTCTATTTGATTACTCAGATTAAAGTTGAATTGTAGTTGCAAAATTTTCATGGTGTTGCATTGCTGTCGGAGATTCAGAACTCAATTCTTTTGAAGAAGCAATCAAGTTTTTGTTATCGAATATCATCAAATCCATGTGTATGATCCCCTACTTGTTTGGCTTTTGTCAAAACTGCATTGCTATGAGCATGAACACCATTTCATCTCTATCTTTCTCTTCAATTGCCATGACCATTTAACTTCATTTGAACGACTGGTGGGATATCTTGGGAGGGGATTATGCTACATGCAGTTTTTGTTCATTTAGTTGTCAAGAGTCCACAGATTGAGGGTACGAAAAACCCCACCCATGCAGTTTTTGATTTCTCCATCATTGCAATTATGATCTAACGACTAGAAGTATCCTAGAATTTTTTGCTGAATCTGTTTTGGGTGCATGTTCGAAATGCAGTTTCAGTGTGGTGACTGAAGCGTGGGTTCACACGAAATGTCCGTTGTTTCTGTTTGCATTGCGAAGTTTGGACGGCAGTTTAAAAGATGCATCAACCTATTTTACCTGAATGAATAATGTTTATGTTAAATGTTGAATGAATTTGGCTTGGGATGAATCTATATTACTAGTAAAGAAAATGGAAGGGGGTGTGTGTTGCTTGCTTATACATTGGGGTAGGGGTGGGCACAGTACGGTTCGATTCAATTCACTTTCAAAATCGCAAACTCGAGTCATAAAAGCCAAACAAATTGTAATCTAATATAGCCGCGTTCTGTTTGGGCTTGCTAGTTAATGTTTTTTGGGCTTTAAGAATCAAAAGCCTATAGCCTTCAAACGCGAGTACAAAACTATAAAATTATCAGCCGACACGGTGCGTTTGTTTGCCATAGTTAGGCTTCATTGGATTGGATTAAGGGTTAGTGTAGTCCTGGATTTGTATCTGCATGGACTACCTTAATAGGAATACGAAGGACTGGATCACGTTGAATAAGCCATATGCCTTCAGTAACCACGCATATACAATCAGGATCCACACACTGGGACGATGCTTTGCTTGGCAAGACCCAACTTGCCTCGCTGGAGATTCGGCTACTGAACCCTATTTGGTAACACACCACCAACTCCTTGCTCATGTAGCTACTGTAAAAGTGTAGAAAGATAAATTTCATGTATAATGAATTTTCTAGTTAGTTCCTTTTTTTTCTTTGTCTAAAATTTGAACGATTCACTAGTATTAGGTTCCACCATAAGAGGATGTTAACAGAACTAAGAAATCATTATGCCTGAGAAATGATGGACTATGCAGACCTTTTGTAAGTACATCAGCTGTTTGATCTTCTGTTGGGGTGTAAACAACCTCCAAATCTCCTTGTTGAACTCTCTCCCTTATAAAGTGAAAATTCGCGTCAAGGTGCTTAGTTCAAGAATGAAACACTGGATTTGCACTGAGTACAATTGTGGACAAGTGATCACAATGAATTGTAGGTGGCGATGGCAAAAATACTTCAAAATCCTTCAATATTCCCCTCACCCAAGCAATATCAGTTGCAGTGTGAGCAAGGGCCTTATATTATGCTTTTGTGGAGCTTCTTGACACTGAACTTTGCTTCTTTGATTGACAAGACACATGATTATTGCCCAAATAGACCACATAACCAGTGATTGAAAGGCAAGTGTTAAGATTTGTTGCCAATCTGCATCTGAAAATGTTGTTAACGTTGTCACTGTGCCAGCATAATATAGTATTCCATGAGTCAAAGTCCCTTGTAGGTATCTTAGTATTATTTTCACTGCTTTATAGTGCATGTCCGTAGGGGAGTTCATAAATTAACATACTGTGTTAACAACATATGTAATATCTGGCCTAGTGAAGGTCAGGTATTGTAATGAACCTACAATGATTCTATAAAGAGAGAGATCTGTCATGAGAGGACCATCTGAAATAAAAATTTGATCATGTGGTTTACAGGGAGTATTACCAGGCTTACATGAGTCCATACCTGTCTTATAGATCAAATCCTTTATATATTTGGCTTAATTCAAAAAAATGTCCCCATTTGACCTGTAATCAATCTATCCCAGAAAATATGTCAATTGTCCCATGTCCTTGAGCTCAAATACTTCAGATAATTCATCAATCACTTTCTGTACTATAAGAGAATTTGAGCCTGTAAGGATTATATCATCCATATATAGGTGAAGAATGACAATACCATTGCCATCTTTCTTAGTGAATAGGCTTATATCAGAAGCAGAAGGCTGAAAATTCATTGCTACCAGATAAGAAGTGAACTTCGAATTCCATGCTCTTGGGACCTGCTTTAATCCGTACAGGGACTTGATTAGTTTACACACATTTGTAGGATGAGATGCATCAACAAATCCCTGTGGTTGCTTCATATAAATGCCTTCTTGTAAGTCATCATGCAGAAAAGCATTTTTGATATCAAGTTGCCTAAGCTTCCAATGATTGGTTGCAACTAAGGCTAATACTCTCCTCATAGTAGTGTGTCTCATTACTGGACTAAAAGTGTCTAAGTAATCCACACCTAGTTCTTGAGAATATCCTTGAGCCACCAATCTGGCCTTGTATCTTGAAACACTTCCATTTAAAATATAAAAAAAACACCAGATTTACTTCTGAATCTTGATTATCAAAGAACAAAATAGTGTACTTCTGGTTTCGGCCTTTCTATGAAGTAACACAATCAAAATCTTTCACCTTTTCAATTTATCAACCTTTCAATCTTAATCAAACAATGAAACTTCAAACATCAATCTTTCTTAATCAAACAACTATCAGATTCAAACAATTGACATCGGCCTTCACAACACTTATACATTTGACTGAGGCAATACTTCAAACACATCATATGCAACAAATTTCAAGTACCAAAATGAATCAAAGACCGAGAATACCAACAACCCAGAAACGGAATGAATGCACCAGCAAGAACCCAGAAACCTTTCTGCCCTCAGAGTATGCAGCTTCAACATTAAACACCAAACAGATCGTCCTAAGCGATTGATACCGTGTTAACAGAACTAAGAAATCGTTCTGTGAAGAACAACAAACAAAAGAATGAATGCGAAAAAGAAATAAAGAAAGAATGAAAGTATTATGTGTATTGATTCTTAGAGAAAGAATGGATGATCACAATCTATGTTGTATATCAGACTTTATACACAGGATCTTAGCTAGCAAGCTATCTCCTCAAGTACGTAAGAGTGTAAACAAAGACAAAGATGAGAATCCAAGTGAAGGGAATTTAAGGGTCTAGATGATGAGAAGTGTCACAAGATCCAAGGGAAGTTATAATGTTGTTCGAATCTATTGGTTGTTAGAATATGTTGTTAGAATACTAGCTTATGCATTAAGCAATGTAATCATATAAATACATATAGTAAAGGTGTAAGGAAAGTATCTTGACACTCAAGAAATACAAGAAAGCTTCTCTTTCTTTCTCTCTCTCTCTCTCTCTCTTCATCTTCTCTGCAAGTCTGCTTTTAGTAATTTTTCACCATTAAAGCTACTGCTTCAATCTTTACGTGGTATCATCGCCAAAGCTCGATTTGGCGCTTTCGCACCTCAATCAAAGTATTTCTTTCTCTTGTTTACACTCTAGTTTGCAATCTGTTCTGTGATAAACAAAAACAATTGGCTTTTTCTGATCTCCAAGAGCTTCAAGAAATTGCTCTTCTTTTTTGCATATCAATTGTTCAATAAATTGTCTTAGTGAAAGAATTCTACACAACATCAACAATGGTTACTGTTGATTAGCTCAAGATTATTCAGTCTCCGATCACCAATCTTATTTCCACCATCTTTACATCTGATTCTAACTACCTTGCATGGAGTTTTCAGATCACACTCCTCTTCGAAAGTCATGGCATTATGGGGTTTGTGGACGGATCAAGAAAATGTCCTCCACGGTTTGATGATGATTCTACAAGTGAAGGGATTGAAAAAGATGACTATCTCGTTTGGAAGATGCACGATCATGCCCTTATGCAATTAATCAATGCAACTTTGTCTACAACTGCAATGTCTTGCATCATTGGGAGCCGAAGTTCTCATGAAATGTGGGTTAATCTTGCTGAAAGATTTTCAACAGTTACAAAAGCCATAATCTTTCAGATGAAAACTGAACTCCAAAACATCGAGAAATTGTCCGAATCTGTTTCCGTATATCTGAAAAAGATGAAGGATGCAAGGGATCATCTTGCAGCTGCAGGTGTTCATTTTGATGATGATGATATAATCATTCTTGCCCTGAAAGGTATTCCTACAGAATTTAATACTTTTAGATGTGTCATACGAGGAAGAGAGAATAATATTTCACTAAAGGATTTTAGGTCTCAATTGTTGCCAGAAAAGACTACAATTGGTCAATATTTTGAGTCTTCAACATCTTTTGGGTCTACAATGGTGGCTGGTACTGCAATCAACAAAAAGAAAGCTTTAGTTCTTGATCAAAATTCCTCGCATTCCGTTGAAATTGGTTCAAGCTCTGGAATCAATGATCAACATCCACATTATGTGATTTAAAATTTTGATCTCTTTAGCATTATCCATTAATAAATGGTCGAAATTTAGTCTTAAAGCTAATTAATTATTACTATATTTAATTTACTGTTATCCAAAAAACTGTTATTATATACAGAATAAGAATTAAATCAACCTTAACTAATTTAAAGGTGTGAGTTTAAGTTTTATCGATAGGAGTCACTTGGTGCTACGGTTTAGTAATATTCCTCTTCACTTGCTATAAGTGAGAGGTTTTAGGTTTGATTCTCGCTAAATGTGAATTTGAATCACATTATTGCTGTCCCATTGTGAGGCTTAACCCACTCATCCACTCCCTTAATGCAGATAATACCGTTTGTTCAAAAAAAATAAAATAAATTATCAACAGAAAAACTCCCCATCGTTGTTTCCCTCGAATTTCCTGAGTTCACCATTGCAGTTCTTAATTTTTAATTTTTCACACTGAGTGAAAGAACCAGATTTTATTTTAACCCCTTCCCATCTTCCCCAACCCCAACCAACCGAAATTACAGAAATAAATTATTTTCGTACTGACCTAGAAGATTTTGGATGGAGGGTTTTGTATCAAAACTTCAATCCTATTTCCCTTGTTCAAAGACAATAATCTTATTATTGGAAAGTACAAGTAAAGCATTTCAGGCCACTTTACATATGCACCGGCGATCCGAGAATAAATTAATAGCCTTCCAATAGCTACCAATTAACAAACCCAAGTTTACGAGGGATAATGATATCTTTAGGAATTTAAAAGTAAGGGAGGAGAGTTTTGCTGGGGTTTTCTTTATTCTGGTGGCTTGTGGAAGATGAAGTCAGAAGAGTTTCAAAAAAGGAAAGAGAAACTATGTATTTTTCTTTTTTAAAGTTAAAGTTAGTTCTACTCTGCCACATAGTACTACGATCTAATACTATTCATCTTTACCAGTAAGTGAGAGGTCTTTGGTTCGATTGTCGCCAAAAACGAAGTTGAACTACATTATTATGGCAAGCTCATTGTAAGGCTTAACTCATTCTCTCACCCCTTAGTGTGAGTACTATCGTCCGTTAAAAAAAAAAAAAAGTTAGTTATGCTCTGATGGTATATACCTAATTAATTAGAATTTTAAAAGTTAGTTCTGCACTCTCAGGATATGTTATCTCATTATGTATTCCTCGATATAGTAATTATCGTATTTCATTAAAAACTTGGATATTTGAGAAATAAACCATTTGCTCTTTTAATAGTTAAGTTATTTAGACAAACAAAATTAGCAACATTACTACCACACTCTCTAAAGGCGAATTTGAGAGGTATTATGTTTGATTTTCGTCAAAGACAAATTTGAACCATACTATTACTAGCCTATTTTGAGGTTTAGGCTCTTAGTTCACTCCCTAATCCCCTTAGTGTAGACAACATCGTTTGTTCAAAAAAATACATATAGGCCCAACTATTGCAAATATATGTGGTCAGTTTGTGTGCCTAATTAATAGCATTAGTGTTCTCGTTTTGGTAAGTAAATAATTCTATGGGGTGCTAGCAATCTTCTCTTTAGCCTTCTTGTTTGGGAAGGAACTTCTATCTCCTCCTCATGTTGTGTCATTTCTCGTACACTCCAAACAATACTTATTAGAGAAATTTTAAAAACTAACCCCCTTGGAGCCATCTATATTGACATTTTTATCCTACCATTTTCAGTTTCTTAATAAAAAAATCTGGCCAAATCTAGTGTGCACAAAGACAAGATGCCCTTAGATTGAAAAATCCGTTCCCAATCGAAGTCTTCCCTCTTCCAGCAAACTCTAAACCTCGCACTACCCATTCGAATCACCGGGTATACAAAACCCCGGCACAAAATCACTAGCCACGACACTTTTTTCTTCAACGTGCATTTCAGCTCTATTACTCCACGTGTGGAATGAAGAATCAGATTCCCACTCTTTCCCTTCTTTTTCTTTTGGTAAAGTTGATGAGTTGTTGTCATGAAAAATGGAGTCACATCAAAGGTGTCATTGTCGTTAAGGAGTTAGGGTTATGTCTTGTGAGGGGATTCCATCCCTAGGGTCTCCACAATTTGAATCTAGATGGAATCCCATCTTCGGATGGGTGTCACTTGCAGTGGGGTTTGAATGCTTTAAGAAAGGAAAAAGAGAGAAAATATTCTTCAGCTGGTACATATCTTTGTATGACGATCCTATCCAGATCCTCTTTGTGAGGATTCTCTCCAGATCTTCTTTGTGAGAATCCTAGGAATCCTCACATCATCTTCGTTTATCCTATATTGTGCGATCAGTTTTCTTAAGGTACTGTTTCTGTTTAATTTTAAATAAAAATATTTAAAATGATTTATGACTGTACAATATATAATGAACGGACACCATTTAAGAATTTCCGGAATCCTCACAAAGAGGATCCGGAGAGTATCCTCACTCCATATCTTTAATCATGTTGAGTAAACTACATTTCCACACCTCATATATGGGCTGATTTTTCAAAATAGATCAAGAAATTTCAATTCTCACATACACCAAGTTGAAATATTGAAATTGTATTAATTTATGTATTGGTCAAATAAATTGTATGATAATTTATTAAATTTGAGCATTTTCAAAGGAGATGTCTATGCTAAGGAGAATGTTATGTAAGAAAATTTGAAAGCAGATGTAAGTTTTAATCGATTTGTCATTTCGACATGATTTAGCATATAGATTGTGTGCTATCAATTTTGACATATATAAAAAAATATAATCTCTTTTACATAAAAGAAAATATAATCTCTTTTATTTTCATAAAGAAGATCCGGCGAGGTCGGATTCTAACTTTTCTGGTCCATTCCATGCATGTGCGTACCGCCACTGCTTGCTAGTGAGGTCCCAACTGGATAAAAAGTCGAAGGACGAAAAAATGTCATATCCTACCGTATCTTGAACTGCGTTTCTCCACTTTTCAATTTTTTTTTTTTTTTTAAAAATATTTCTCTTTACCTAATTCCATTCCTTGATATATTTCCCATAACCAATCCACCAAAGTTTTACGTTATATACATGCTTGAGAAATTGTTTACTTACAAATAAAAATATAATATTGCAAACGTATTCATATTTAATTATTATTGTTACAAAAGTATATTTAGTTTTTTGTATAAATATGTATTATCCCAACCGTATTCATATTTAATTATTATTGTTACAAAAGTATATTTTGCTTTGCACTTTTCAGTGGTCTTCACTTTTTTAAAGCCTGCACGTGTTTATCAAATTTTAGTAAATAAATGCTTATCAATTATTCTCACGTCTAGACGTGGTACGTAGCCCTCTATATAAACCCCATGCAATATGCAGGGAAGAACCAACCTAGCTATCTCGATCACCAAAACCCCTCCAGTTAACTATGGCAATGCATGAGTTAGGCTCTTTGCTCTTGTGTGTCTTGCTACTCAATGGCTTTGCATTGACAAACACCAAAGCTGCTAAGCCAGATAAACCCATTGTCTGTAACTCACTTGACAGGACCAAGTTTGATGCTCTAAAACCAGGGTTCGTCTTTGGTGGATCTACAGCAGCTTACCAGGCCAGTCCCTGCTAGGGCTTAGCTATTTAATTACCCTTTAATTAATTTGAGTTTCATATAATCACATAGGTCTAATTCGATTTCAATGTCAGAAAAAACTATAGCATATATATATATATATGTGCAC